AATGTTTATGATTATTTTAATAAATGGATGGTAAATAATTTAAAATCTATATTTAATATTTCTATGTTTATTTTCATATTACCCTATTTTTATTTTCAACAAATTTCTTAATATTTGTAACAATTAGTGTAATATTTTTCCCTCTGATGAGTTTTAAATACCTAATGATGGAGATTCTTTGTGTGTATATGTAAATAGGAGGTAGTTCCAGAGGTCTCAAAAAAGAACAAACTTGGACTTGATATATACATATATATAGAGAGAGAGAGAGAGAGAGAGAGAGTGTGTGTATATATACCTATAGAGAGAGAGAGAGAGAAACTAGTCTGAAAGCCAAAGACCAGCTGTATAAAATCCAAGGAAACTTCTTTGATTACTTTATTCTAAAACTAGCCCTTTTAAAGGGGAGATAATTTAAGGTACAAAACTTCTAAAAAGCATTTTGAGAACAAATGGCGTCTGAGGAGAACAAGTTGGATATTGAAAATTTCGCTTAAATTTCATGTTTGAATTAATATATAATTTGGTATATGTATTATATATAATGGATAACATATATTACATAATATATATAATATGAGGGAAAATAAAAACAACAGAATATTTGAGGTGTCTTCTCAAGGATTTTATCTCAAGAAGTTTTTATGAGCAGATTTTCTTGATTAAAAAGTAGTTTATTTTGAGAAACTGGGTTATCGGTACAATGCTTTAATATGATATTAGACATTCATACACAATTTAAGATAGACTAATGACAGGGAACAGAAATGTTATCTATGGATTACCTACTTCTGCTGGGTAGTTTATATACAGGTAGTCATTAATAACTGTCAATCAACCCTAAATATAAATATTCTCCCTTCTATTTGACATGCATTAAAACTTGAGGATTCAGGTGAGTTAAATAATTTACACAAGTAACACGGTGAATCTCAGAACCATGACTCAAACCCAGGTTTGTTTCATTCCAAAACTTTGTTTAGTAATACCCTGGGCTATACCTGGTACTGCAGTAAAAGACTTCATACAGACGTTTCACAGACTACCTCCCAAGGCAGTTAGAATGAATGTGGGAAAAATAAACCAGAAACTAAGTGCAATAGAGAAGCTATTACTGGAGTTAATAGGAGGTGGTTCCAGAGGTCTCACAAAAGAACACACTTGGGCTTGATAACAAATTGTAGTTGGCAAAATAAAAGCAAGATCATAATGTAACAACTAATTTGTTGGTCTATTAACCTCTACTAGATAGTAAGCTCTATTATGAGGGACAGAGGCCATGAAAATTATGGTCAGTCTTCTTTCTCCAGTGCTTAGTGCTATAACAAGGCATTCAAAGAATTTACATGGAATGAACAAAACTGCAAGCAGAGAAATAAAGTACCTTTGTGGAGAAAGAAGTTTGATGCTAACCAGTCGCAGAAAGGATTCCCTTTCATTACAGAAGTCACAGTCACTAAGAGCTGAGATATAAATCCAAAAGAACTTTAACACCAAGCTAGCCAAAAGACTGCAGTCAGTTAGGAGGGCCAGGAATATTATGGAAGCAAACGTCAGTTAAAAAAAAAAAAAAAGAAAAAAAACAGTAACTCAGTCTTCTCTCTAAACAGGCCGTGATTTAAAGGGGAAAAGAAAAAGAACCAGTGAAGAGGTTAAAAGGCAAATTACCTAATCATGTTTTAGAAATTTGTTAAAAATGATTGCTCCAAAAGAAATGATCTGATTTCATGTAAATAAAACTTACCACACATCATTTATTTTAATAAAACAGATCTTCAATAAAATAAATTAAAATTAATTCTTCCTTCTAAATCTATGGGGGCTTGTAAGAAAGTCCAACCATGTGGTTACAACCACGTGAGAGTGTCACATTACTGCCGACTTGTGGCCATCTGCCTGAAATTCAAGGACAGATTTTCAAGATGAATAATTAAGAAGCTGAATCTGCCTCAACCTTGAAGACAGATTCAGTTTTCTAATTTGGCACCGGAGACCATTATCCGTAGCAAACCAATACAGGAACAGGAAACCAAATACTGCATGTTCTCACTTATAAGTGGGAGCTAAATGATAAGAACACATGGACACATAGAGGAGAACGACATACACTGGAGCCTTTGGGAGAGTGGAAGGTGGGAGGAGGGAGAGGATCGGGAAAAATAACTAATGGGTACTAAGCTTAAGGCCTGGGTTATGAAGTAATCTGTACAATGAACCCCCATAACACAAGTTTACTTATGTAACAAACCTGCACATATATTCCTGAACTGAAAATAAAAGTTAAAAGCTGGGTGCGGTGGCTCACGCCTGTAATCCCAGCACTTCGGGAGGCCAAGGAGGGTGGATCACCTGAGGTCAGGAATTTGAGACCAGCCTGGCCAACATGGTGAAACCCAGTCTCTACTAAAAATACAAAAAGTTAGCTGGGTGTGGTGGCAGACACCTGTAATCCCAGCTACTTGGGAGGCTGAGGCAGGAGAATTGCTTGACCCTGAGAGGCAGAGGTTGCAGTGAGCTGAGATCGTGCCACTGCACTCCAGCCTGGGTGACAGAGTGAAAGCTCCATCTCAATAAATAAATTAATGAATGAATAAATAAATAAATAATAAAAGAAAAAACAGAAGTTAAAAAAAAAAGAAAACCTGTCAAACTAAAGCTAAAAAGCCAAATCTTTGTTATGTCATTGTACGGCAGAGGCACTTGATAGCAGTAACTCAAGCACACCCTGAGAAGGTCCCTATGGTGTAAGAAGAAGGTTTGTTTGGAGTTCGGACCTAAGAAATTCAGGAGTGGCCAATCTAGAGATTCACTCCTTAACTATGGGGGACTTCTGAACCCCTTGCCCATACCTTGGAACTCAGGCCATAAAGGGGACTGAGGATGTTTGTTTCGGGTAAAATGTAGGTTGCTAGCTAGAGATTCCTAAATGAAAACACTACATATCCTGAATGCTTTTTATAAACAGTAGCAGTTTTCCTGTCCAGCCCACCACTCCTGGCCCGAACTGTATATAACTCCTCAATAAACTCTGTGTCTGATTCACTGACTCTGGGTCTCTCCTCCTGCCTCTCAGACACGACGTCACATGTCATCCCTATTGGTGTTAATAGGAGTCTGGCATGACAACAGTTCTTAATCAGGCTTTTAACGTAAGTAAGTTGAAAAAATGAATGCCATAGACATTCAAACAGCTTATTATTTCTACCTAATATGATTTGGTGTGCCTACCTGTACTCCTAAATCAAGTCATGACAACAATTATTCTGATGTTTTATTTTTAAGATAATTGCTTTACGACTAGATTCATTAGAAAACAGTTTCACTATTTAGTGGAAATCTTTTTGAAATGCTAGCTATACACACACATAAAATTTAAAAATATTTCTTTCAAAGGCTAAAGCTAGGTGTGAATAGTTGTTCAACAGCATTATCAAAACACAAAAAGGGAAAATATAAAATATAGTACCATGCTTATCATTCAGTTTGGTATACAAGGTAAGAATAATTGAGGTGGCCCTGCTTCCCATATGTATTAACATACTTTGCTAGAAAGTCTACTTTTTATAAATTAAGGTGGCTTCATATTCCTGATGTTGGCTGCTAGTCATTCATACTTTAGCTTAAATTAGTCTGATATAATTTATTTTTTATTAAAAGCTCAATTAGATCTGTCTACTATGCCTTAATGGGAGTTTTGGTGAGAAGTAGAAATTGAATTGTAATAGCATAGAATTCTTCTTTGGGTTAGATAGTCCTCGATAGCATGGTGCATTTTGGGGCTCTTGGGTAACTAAATAGGAGCAGCAGACAAATGTGAGGAGTTGACATCAAGGTGCAAGCAAATAAGCAAGAAAAAAATATTAATGGAGATGAAAGATAAAATTTACTTCTAACTTTCAGTATTAAGAATTGTTCTTTCTCTATAGCAATGCTTATCTCTGAAATAATTTCTTTCCTTTGATCTCCCTCAAAAACTCTCTGCTGAGAGATTATATTTAGGATATAACACATTGTATTTTTGTTTCAAAAAATCAGGTTCAAAACCCATTTTTCTTACTAAAATAAATGTCCACTTCCATCTGATAATGTATTGGGTTCTCAGTGCTAGTTCTAGTTTTCATCAAGCAGACCTTGATCTTTTAGTTCACTATTATGATCTATAAAGGTTAACATATACGACGGAGATACAGAAAGAAAGGAAAGGAAATGTGTTTTATATAAATCAAGTTTAAAAAATCAAGAAATGATAAAATAAGAAAAAAATATTTCTGTAACTCAAAAGAAGATTAAATACTAAATACATTTGGTTCTTTTTGTTCCAATGAGAAATCTGTTTACCTATGTATGCTAGAAATATGCTGGGGTCTTCAACTTTGTTTTGAAGTCAGCTGAAATATATTTTTGGTGAGATCTAGTTGCTAAAATACACTGTATTCTAGGACTTCAAGGTCAGTTGCAACATTGGAAATATGCTCCTAATATAAGCACACTTCTTTTTATATTTCAAAGATAGGTAGATTTAAAAAAAACTTCAATGTTTGGATTTCATTTATTCTGTTTAACTCGGATTTGTTTTTAATGATATCCCTTCATTTCAGAAACTTGTATTTCCTTGTTTCTTCATACCAACTTCCAGTTTTGAACTGTCAGATAAGTTATTACATTATATTAGTAAAAATAATCAAAGGCTTGTAACTCAGTAGTGATTTCTCACCCAGGAAATTTGAAGTTAAAGTATTTCCAATTTACAATAAGCTTCTTCAGTTATATATAAAACAAATTAATGAATTAAAGTGATAACTTACCACATGCTTTAATCCATGTAAATACAATTCATAATTCGTGCAAACTAATTAACGCCATTAAAAAAAACTAAATCATAACTTTTTTACTACTTTAAAGAGAAACTCAAATATTAAATAACAATATAAAGAGAAACTCAGGTTATCTTTTGCTATTCATCACTTTAACTGAAAAACATTCACATCTCCATTAATTACCTGAAATTAGCAAAATACTCTTTCTTTCCCCAAATCGTGGATTATTCCGGGAAAACAGGCAGACCAACACTTATCACCATTGGCCCTCAGAAAAATGACCTGGGAGAACAAGAAAATTGACATTATCTTAAAAGTGATTTGACATATGGAGTAAATCAGGGGACACATTAACAAAGTAAGGCAGATATTCTATAGAGGTAACGAGTTAAATCTAAATTATTTATGAAAAAAAATTACTTCTCTTTAAATGTCAATGTTTAAAGGAACCCTATTCTACAAGGAACTTGTTTGAACTTTTAAAATTATGCCAACCTCAGAGTGGCTAATAACAATAGTTTTATGAGCAAATTAGAAATTCTTTTTGCAAACATCCTAGTTTTTGACCTGCTGGGGAATAAAATTTAAAGAAAAAACAAAACAAAACAAAAAAAAAAACTTTGCTAGCTCTGACCTCCATTGGGAAAGAATATCCTGGTGTCTCTCCCGAGGTCTTGCCGTTTTCTAGCAACAATCATGAAACAAAATAGAAGCTTTCCTCTTCCCCTCTCTTTGCAAATTCTGATCAGCTTATGTAGGAGGGAAAAGAGCAAATGCTGAACCGGGAGAGTGAAAGTTATCTGGTTGTAGCAGAGATTTTTGAGATAAAATGAGGAAAGTAGAGAAAGGCACTTTCAAATATAATGCATGATACACAGGAAGGCTACAGGAAACAGAAAGAAGGTGTTTTCCTGGGCCTGGTAGGGCTTGAAAGAACAATGAAAAGTTAAGCATTATTACTCCCAGCATTAAGGAAACGTCGATTTCATCTTTCTCAAGCTGACCCCCCCCCCACAGTTTCTAAAACGAGAACACACACACAAAATTCCAGTATAGTATTTGAACTTTGTTTTCTCCCAACCCTTGACTTCTTACAGCTAGCTCAGTGTGTCCCCTCCCTACCTCAGTCTGGACAATATAAAAAAGAAAACAAAGTTATTCAGCCCAGCGATGCAAGGTCTTCGGGTTTCTCATTCAACACTTTACACTTTGATCCCTGAGGTAACGGAAAATCCTTATCGCCTAGACTTTCATTGGTTCCTATCAGCTCGGCTGGAAAGGATGGCAAGTGGGACAATCCTGAAGAAAACGGAGTCACCCCCACGTCCTAAAGTACTTGGAAGTGCTCACTGGGATCTGCCTGTACTCCAGGCTGGTGCAACTCCACCGCCCTCCAGTGAAGTCCCAGAAGTGATCAAGTTTAAAGCGAAAGGAGGATGGAAGCATTATTTCTCCCTGTGCCTCCGGAGTCTGTGGCTTCAGTTTGCTGCAGGTTCTCTCCGTGGACTTCTCAGAAACCTCAATTTTCCACTTCGAGGGACAGAAAGCTACAAGGAAAACACTGATGGCTTTGGTGAAGATTCTCCTGGACTTCAGTGGTGTCCTCTGGTACATCTGTCCGCGGTGTCCCTTTGGTTGATTTCTGTGGTCTTACTGCGCAGTCCCCCGGCGGCTCGGAATTTGGCTCTCCAGCTCTCCAACTCAAATCCTGAGCCTCCTAAGCTCCCGCGGAGACCCCGAAGTCCCGGATCTGGCGCCGCTAGCAGTCCTGGAGGGAGGCTGCAGGGCTAGAAGTGCAGTCCCGGAGCTGCGCTACTCTGGAAAGCAAAGCAGCCAGACGTGGCTTGAGTGGATTCCTAAGCCCAGGATTGGATCGGGAGTACCAGGGGCAGAGAAGGGGAGCAGAGGAAAGAAAGGAGATGTGAGCAGTTTCCACCTAAAGCACTTCACTCCTCGGGTTCTTCCCCTACAGAGATAGCTGTGTGGGTCTTTCTTACCCGTGAGTGCAGCTGTGCGCCTTTGGGGTGAGCCCAAGGTTGTGCTCGAGTATACGCGCGCCTGTGCACTTCCAGGGCAATGGTAAAGCCTGGCAAAGCTCTTTGGAACAAAACGAAAGAGCTCCCTATCCATGGAGGCCACCGGCATGGGCCTTTGCCAAATACGGCAGAAGAAACCCTTGTTAGCCAGCTTCCTTTTTGCAACTTCCTACTCTTCCATTGCCTTTGGGGGTACAGACTGGTGTCTGGGCTAGCTAGGATCAGAGCTGAGAGCGAAGGTGCGCGCAGTGTCCGAAGACCACGTGCTGGTGAACCCACAATGAGAAGCGAAAGGGTTTCAGGATTTTAGCAGAAAGGAAGAGCAAGATTTCACTTAGGGTTCTTTAGAAGAAAGAGTTAACTTTGCTTACTGGCTTTTTCAGGCTGGGCGGAGTGGGGATATAGGGTCGGGGAGAGAAGCACTGGGAGTCTTGTCGGAGTCTAAAGCAAAACCAGGCGAGGGCTCCGGGCAGATCCATTCCCGCAGGGCCCTGTCTAACCTCCTTTCCAGTCGCACATCTTTTCTGCTTTAGACCCTGCTTCTGTACCGGTGACCTTACAGACCAGGTCTGGATTATGAAGATTGTTGGGCTCCCTTTCTGCCCTTGACATACTAAAATGTGACCAACTGCAGTATTCGTAATGTCTGATGCTGAGCTGATTCCCAAATATAAATGTTCTTTACAGAATCCGCTCCCATCTGATTAGTAAGCAAATCACCACCCACAACTAAGGGGACAGCGGAAGCCAGCCTCAGATGACTGAAACCCCCAAGTCAGTAGCTCTCCTTCTCAAAATTTCCGGCGGGTTATTATAACTAATGCCTTTTCCCACCTCCCTAAGCAGCCGAAGGTTGACTCAGTGATGATTCTCTCTATCCCACAACCGAGAGGAAGTGGGCGATCAGCAAATTGCCCTTTTGCAGGAGGCTGGGGACGCCCCTGGAAGTTCGCTTTCATCCTCCAGGTTTTCTGCCTTTTCCCTTCCCCCTTCCTGCAACGCCCCCGCGCCTCCTCAGCCTGGGGATTTCCCGGCGCTTCGCCCGCCCTCTCCGCACCCGTCAGATAAATCGGTTCGGAACTAGTCTGGCTGGGAGGCCCGAGGGCTGAGAGCAGCTGACCGGCCCCGGCCGGGGTCTCACAGACTCTCGGGGTCTGGCCGACACTGCCGCTCCCGTCACTGCGGCGCGGGCCGAGCTCACGGCCGCGCGCCCGCCGCCGCCGCCGCCGCCGCCGCCGCCGCCGCCACCTCCATGCTGCAGCGCGGGGCTCAGTTCCACGCGGCCAGGAGGCCGCCGTTGCCGAGACGCACAGCCTTGGGAAGCCTGGCTCCCGGGTCCGCCCCGGCCGCGGCCGCAGCCCCGGACCTCGGCTGCTTGCCTCGCGCCTGAACTGCGGACTCGCCCCAGCGCGGTGGCCAGCGGGCGGGGCGCTGTGTGCAGCGGCGCGCAGGGAGGCGGTGAGCGTGTGCAGAGCTGCCCGAACGGAGGACTATGTATGTGTGTGCGCGTGTTTGCGCGTGTTTTTCATTCTTCCCTTGAGAATGTGAATTGTTTAGCAGCTGGCTGCTCCCTTAGGATTCTTGACTTTGGGGAGCTCTGGGCTGTGAGTACAGCCCACCCATATAATTCATTTTGCACCGTCGGTTATATCAGGAAAAAAAGCGCAACTGGACGGGGGTGGGGCAGACCAACGAAACCTTCCGGAGACACACACATACACACACACTCACAGGAGAGAGGAAGAAATGAAAGACTTGAGAAGACTTTGATAACCTCCCTGCTGGCCCTTCTGTTTTCCGGAAAGATCCTGGATGTTGGCTACCTTTTCAAGTCATCTTGGCATGTCTCTAGTGTTTTGTAAGCCGCTTTCCAGCTAGCTGCGTGTGTGTGTGCGCGCGTGTGTGTACGCGCGCGCCTATCTGATGCATTTGACTGTCTTTTATCCAACTGCCCAGAAGCAAATGTGTTAAGTCGGCGATGCCCCTTCGTGCCCGGGTTCTTGCAGAGCTCTGAGGACGCCCAGACCCATTTTCCTGGCTGGATTTGGAGCGGCTGCTGGGCTGTGGACCCAGGTGTGTGGATCGCTTTATCCAGAAGCTTGGAAAGCGCCAGTATTGACCTGCTTCCAGGTACATCACAAGGTCAATAGAGGGTCTTGCAGCCCTCTTGTTTCCGTGTATCTACACCTTCTTCTCTTGGCCAGAAGGATATTTACGTTTTGGTCCACAGCATTTGAAGCCAAAAGTTCAGCCCTTCGAACTGGTTTGCTAGACAAAACAAAACAAAACAAAACAAAAAAGGTAATGAGGATTGCTTATCAAACTGCTTAACAAAATCCCCGACTCTTCCTCAGCCCTTTCTCGGCTCCCTCCTCTCCACCAAAATGTCACCAGCTCTTGAATTACGTGGATTCGGGTTGGAGGAGAACTTGAAGGAAACGTGATTAAAGGGCTATGCGAGAACGCTCTCTTTGCTGCCCGCGGTCCTGTGGGCTTCGAAGCCAATCGTGAGAAGGACCGGTTCCCTCCGTGCTGCTTCCTCCCCGTGCAGTGCCGGGTGTGCGTGTGCAAGTGTGAGTGCAAGTGCGCGCGCGCCCGGGTGCGAGTGTGTGTGAGTGTGAGCGCGTATCTGTGTGTGCGTGCGCGGCCGCCCTGCCTCTGCCCGCTCCCCGGGCGCGGAGCCGCGGGTTTCATGGGGCGATTGCAGCGGATCCCCCACCCAGCGCGACCTGCGGGCAGCGGCGGCAGTGGCAGGAGCTGCCTTTCCGACTCCCTAGGATGCGGGTGCTGAGCTATGGCAAAGGGCAGCGAAGTGACGAGCGAGACACGCGTACGACTGTGAAAGCCACCTGGAGCCACCTTGCCGGGATTGTACCTGCAGGCAGAAAGTCTTCCTACGACCGTCTTTTCCCCTAGAGGCACCAGGTAACAAGCCAAGGATTACTCGCCTCACCCAATTTCCTTTAGATCTTGTTTCTAGTGTCTTATCTGCATTGCAGGCTACTTTACTTATTAATGTTTTGAAAATCATTGGGAAGGGTTGAGTATCCAAGGGCGCCTGCTCTGTGATTTTGTAATACAATTTCTAGTTGGTGAAATATACATCTATACCTGAGCACTTAATCTAGTAGTGAAAGCTTTGGGAATATGGATGTGCTCCACCCTGAGGATATTTTTTGAGAGCTAGGCGTGTGGAACCTGTCTGATGATGCCAGAGATCAAAATTCTGTTTCCTTCAGGCTATGGTTGCCACGGACCATTTGGTACCCAACCCTCTCCAGATTGTGGAGTGTGAGTGGGTGTTTGGTTTCCACCCATCATTTAAACCAAAGATCTTTTTTACCCTTTTCTACCTCTGGTGCCAGGTTGTTTTCTTTCCTTGTTGTGGAGGAGCTTGCCAGATCTTTTTAGTAGTTGTAAATTACGCATCTGGAGACTTTGACTTGAAATGGAGTTTTCTTGGAACTTGGTTTGCATGAAAGGGAATATATTGTCACGGATGTGTGTCTTGAGATATGGTGTTTAACTGCCAGGGCGTGCTTTTATGTAGCAGAATAAATCCATGAAAGAAGTCATTTTTATATCTAGCAGAACCAGGCTAAACCGATAGCCACCACCCAACGTTCTCTCCAGCTGTATTGTCTCCGTCACGTCACGGAGAGGGGCTCCTGTGCGCGGTTTTTTTTTTTTTCTTTTCTTTCTTTCTTTTTTTTTTGTCTCTGTATAATAGATACTTTGAATTTCTTTTTCTGGTGCCTTGATTTACAAGGAGCAGGTTGGATTTGCGACTGCCTAATTAACATATTGGGTCTGATATGTTAAAATGAGATTCCCATGGCCAGCTGAAGCAGAACAAATTTAGTTAACTTCCAAAGCCCTTTACCCTGGCGCCTTTTTTCCCTGAATTCCCTTTCATCCTATCTCAGCGCCCGCCCCCAAAGGAAAATTTCACTCCCTTCTTGAAGACATTAGAATTAACAAGATAAAGCACTTCCAAAGTAGTCTCATCAATGTTTTATTCCATAGTGAAGACGGTCTGAATAATTTAGCTAAGGAGTGTTAGTTTGTCTCCCGCCTTTGGGAGCTGTTTTCTGGCTACATTCAGCGGAGGACTTGGCCCAGCCAAGCTCAGGGTTCCCTGCTTCAGGAGGCAGTGACTGGGGCTGTTGGGGGGCGGGGGGTTCTGTTTGCTAAAGCCGCTTAGGAAGTGTAGGGGCGCTGCCTGATTTTCCTCCACTCGCTGCGTTTCTGTAGATATCCATATGATGGCATTTGCAGACTTCTAGCTGGCCCATAGCTGCTCTGCTTGTCCCTGCGTACTGACGTCCCCAACTCCTCTTCGAGTCTGGGTTCGGCTGCTGCTGCAGCCCTCGCAGGCTGGTGGTGCTACAAGGCCATGTATGCAGCGGGCTTTGGGGGCTGGGCTCTGCCACTGCAGCTGGCAGGCCGGCTTTGACACTTTCTCTGGGCGGGGCGGAAGAGCTCAGCGGACCCCCTGGCAGACAGCAAGCGGATCGTGGCCGAGGCGGCCGCCTGGATGTGAGAGGAGGGAGATGCCCAGAGCCACAGAGGAGCGTGGAGGGCGGTGGTGTCCTGCCTTTGCCTGCAAAACCTTTCTCTCTCTCTCCCTGTCCCTCCCCTCGGCAATGAATATTCAAGAATATGGAAGGAAAGCTGGCTACAAAAATGTCTTGATATTCAAATACTGCATGATTTATAAGGATTAAAAACCTGAAGCTAAGTGTGTATTTCCTAGATTTCCATTTGTTCCTCTTTCTAACCCCCCTTCTTGCTCTCCTCGGTTTGATCATGTCATTTATACCCGTATTGTTTCTAGTTGAAACACCTCTGTAAAGTCAACTAACCTTCCTCCCCAACCTGGTACCCAATAAACGTGAAAGAGGAGGACAAGAGGGCCACTCTTCAGATAGATTTGCTTTGTAACTTCAAGCTGCAGGGATAACCAAGGAATGATACAGAAGATACCTCGACTTTAACAGAACTTCCCCCTCTGAGGTCCCGGGCGGGCGGGGGTGGGGGTGGGGGGCGGGCAGTGGGCGGAGGGGAAGTGTATTGCCTGGATTAAATAATGAAATCAATGAAAGATAACAGATAATTGGGAATACATTAAAAAATGATTTTTTTCTTTTATTTTCCTTTTTTTTTCTTTTTCTCTTTTGATGAATTTACTTCTAATCCTCTTATCACTCAGAAAATCTTAGAAATCTGATTTGTGTATTCTAAACGTCTGACAAGGACACCACTTTGTCCTCCCAAATTACCCCAGAGTACTATTACAACAGTATTGATATCATACTTACAATATTTGTTAGCAAGTAAGTTATACCTATCTAGAGAGTGCCCAAGAAAAAAGAAATGCTGGTGAATATAGGTTCTTGGAAAATACGGTGTTTTCACCACCTCCCATCTATTTCACTTTCTTCTGGCCTTTTCCCACTAAGGATTCGATTTTTTGTAGGTTAAGCTTTGTTCTTCCACCTTCAGCCTCAGGGAAGGCAAAGCAAACGCATTAAAATGGATGCTGAATGCTCAGAAACCTAAACAGATGATGGTGTGATGCATGTTTGAAAATGTCACTCATTGGTGCGGATTGGACTTAGGTTAAAGGTCATAACTAAATAGAACTACTAGCACACGGTTACATGCATAGAGGTTCCTAAGGGGGGGAAAAGATTTCTGCTACCTTTTTCTTCTCCCTTTTCTGGAAGAATGGAGAGGGTACAAGTTACTTTGAAAATCTGAGTCCACTGTCCTTGCTAAGAATTGTCTTTAGATAGAGCTGGCCTGGCTCACTAGCCTGACTCATTGATGAATTAACACTTCAGGTATTGATAGGACATTTCCCAGCCAAAAGCCTCCTTCTTTGTAAGCCCTCTTTTAGTCACTATTAATAGGGATAGAACAATAGGATATCTATAAGAACAAGCATAAGCAGATAGGTGAAAAGAAGTTGTCGTTTGATTCCTGTACCTTGGATAATTTCTTTTAGACATTTTTTCCCTTTCTCTTTTCAAGAGGAGAATGACCTTGAACACCAGGCTTCTGTTCTTTCACACACCTCTCTCCTTCCCTCATAGATCTAATGTGTGTATGAGCACACACAGCTTGTTTTTGAAATATGAGATTCCTGTGCTGATGTTCTGGGAGAAGTTCATAAAGGTTTAGTTCTGACTGACACCAGCCAGAATTGATTTCTTTCCTTTTTCTGAAGAGGGGATAGCAAGAGCTATAGTTACCTGTGGGAGAATACCTCCACCCTATTCCCTCTTCAATTATTTTTGTCTCCTCTGTCACTAAATGGATTTTGCGTGTTGAAGCAGTATCTGGTTATGGCATTGGTGTTTAAATGATCTTCATATGTTATGTCATGTTTTATCACCCTTTCATCTTTTCATGAATGGCTCTCATTTCCTTTGTCCATTTAAATCAGTTATCTTGATCTTGTTGCTGTTTGAAGCACTTTTGGCTTAGTAGTTTTGCTGAGTTTTCTTGCTGGTGAAATTGAGATCTTGCTTTCTGCTGATGTATTGCTGTGTTGTTATATGGTTGGGATGAGATGCTTGCAGGTATCTAACAATATTCCTGCCTCTACATGACACTACTACATAATATCTACTAAATTATGTATTTTAAAATAAATGTATCATAAATAAGATTGCTAATAAGTTTTATGGACAATTTTGAGGCTGGAAAAAGGAAGCTACTTGAAACTTCCTAAAGGCTTAACTGGCTAACCTAGTAGCTTATTTCAGTGATTTTTATTTTCTGGTTACTTAAAAATGTAACATATTGGCATTATTCTCAGGGTTTTGTATATAGTATAATGAATTTTATGTTTTATGTATTATTGAAGAGTAAAACTGGAAATTTGGACCTTATAGGTGTTGTGAGTGTGAGCCCCTAGAATACATAACTAGCAGATAATTTTGCTAAATCATTCCAATAATACACATGTGCATACTCTGCCTTGTTCAACAAGCCTTGGACTGAGACTACTTATTCTGGTTGCAGAGCCCACATTTTTATTCCCATGGCATCCTTCAATCATTGAGGACTGTTTAGAACCTAAGGCTGTATAATTTGTTCATTACATGGTACGTGCATAGTGAAATTAA